GAGAGGAAGATTTAGAAGAGTTGACAGTTAACCCCGGCTGCTCACCCGGCGTCTCCAGGAGGCGGTTTGTTAACCAAGTGAATTTATGGATTCCCATTAAAACCCCATTACACACCAAACAGATGACTCGCCTATAGAAAGCACCTAAACATCACGCTCAGCGATCGATCGCTGTGCTGAGGGGACGCCGGTTCGATATGAGCAACCAAACTGTTTGAGGAAAATGTTCAGATCAATTTTATGAGCATTTAATAGAAAAGGCAGCGAATGCTTAAATCAGTCTGCCTGATAAATGAAGAAATAAGAATTCAGTCTTTTGATGTAATTAAAAATAGTTGGCAGGGATAATCGTTCAGCTTCGAACTAATTTAGGCAGAAAATAACAGTTTTTTTACTGTTTTAACTAAAAGCTGACGGTGAGGTCATTAAAACTAGTAGAGCGTTAACACTTTGCTGCCCAGCATTCCCATTAAATGATCCTTTACACCGATTGGACCAATTAAAAACCTGCTGCAGGCAGATGGCTCACTCATTGTAAACAAACCAGCTACAGCCACAGAGACTGATGGCCCTGCAGATCCTATTAGAGGATACCAAATGTTTACAATAGCAATATGTCACATTAATTACTTAATGGAAAGGCTAAATTCACAGTTGTGTCACGATGGATGGATAATTAATGTTTTGGATTTTGCATTTTAAGCTGGATTCTCATCAAAAATCTAAATGTTTTATGGCTTAATCTTAGAGCTGCTTCACATTTCAGTTACTTTTTTAATTTGTAGATTAGGTGACATGTCTTCAGCCCATGTAGGCGGGTTTTTCTTTGCATTTACTGCACGATCCCCAATCCACAAATACATTTTAGCTTTACTAACCAATGATAATGGGACAAAAATAAAAATACGAGATATCTTCCAGTCATCACAGAAACATAAATGCACCCACTGATTTTTATGCTCTCTGTGTTTTTTAAAATATTTAAGATGTTAGATTGAAAACTGCTTTGGTGCGTTAATGTTGTTTATCTTGCTTCATGAGTGTTTAGTGAATTGAAAGTACGAGCGTGAATAGAGGCCTTCATGCTCTCAGCAGGATGTCTCTGATTTCTTGGCCCGGCTAACGCTGATGCATGTGCGTTGCGTTTTCTCCCTCTTACTTTAAGGAGCCTCACACGGAGCCTCTTCTTGGTGAGAGAATTGCGTTCTGGCCTCTTTTACTGCTGCTCTCCCTTCTTCGTTTTGGTGTCTGAACAGATGTGTTGCTTTTGTGGCAAATAAGTTCCTTGATCAACTGGCTTTTGTGCGACCCGACCATTGGTGACAGTTTCAAAAACGATGTGTTCAGTGTGTTTGAGATTGTATGAAGCCATTAAAGATATTGAGCACCGGCACACTCGATAAATCCTGGACACGAGAGAAACTGCTATCAATCCTAATGAACAAGCAGAGGTTGATCGAAGACCTAATTTGACAAAAAGTCGATAAATTACCGTAAGTGGATCTGGCTCTACGACTTGGAACAAACTGTTTCTGTGATCCTTGCAGACTTTCAGTAGTCATGTGACTGAGCTGCATCCTTTTTAATTCACTTTATAAGGTTATTATGTGGATGGAGTTTGATTGCTCTGCATTAATGGGGTAAAGAATGCAATATTCCACAGTGGTCCTACAAAATTAGGCAGTTCCTCTGTTTTTACTTTCAAAAAATGAGATTTGAATTCAGAAAATCAGTTTAGATGTTATATCTTATTCAGGTTTCACAGCTCAGTCAACTTTAGGAATTGTCTCGCGGGATTTCAGTCACAGTTTTGAGCCAGGTCGGGGTGCAAACACCAGAAATGCCCATTTTAACAAGTCATTTAATCCATTATTAAGTGTCAAGTTTTTTAAAACAAGTAATAATCTCAGTTGATGAAGAGGAGGGCTGTTTCTGCTTGGCTCCCTCTGAGTTTGGGAACAACAGAAACAGCTTTACTTGCTTTAACCAAAAAAACTTTTGTTTTTTTTAAAGTTTCCCTCCACTCAGAAATTGTATTTTCACTAGTGGTTCTGCCTCCAGTGTTCAAAGTTTGTCTGGATATATAACTTTAAGGTGTTCAAGCAGGAATGATGATGCTACACTAGAAGTTAGCTGTGGTTCAATAGACGACTTTTACTAGCATGATGTGGAAACTTGAGGTTTGATTTGCACATATATTGAAAATAACCCTTCAGTGGTGTATAGGAGACACCTTATAGATCAAAAGTATTACAATTTTGAAGTGGAAGACATTTGCGTATTCATAAATTCAGGATTTCCCATTAAGACGGAGGGCGACTATGTCGTTTTAGGCATTTCCAGGAGGCTAATTAACCTTTTTTTAAGGGAAAAACTCGGACTCGAATCCTTCTTTTAAACAGAGTCTGCACACATGTCTGGAGGGGATCTTTAAACTTCAGTATAGTGATTGAATGACCTGTTGAGATGGCTTTAACCTCCTCAATATTGGCGTAACTTCAGCTGGGAATTTCTAACTTTGAGAAAGTCACGCCGATATCACGTGTGGCGCTTTGGTTCCAGCATCAGTGAAATATTCCCGCTCCTTCCCTCCGCTTCTTCTCTCCCCCACTGCTGGTAAAACCTCAGAGCACTGCAGTTACTCATAAACAGTGTGGTTATGATAACTGCTCATACTGAAGCTTCACTGCTAGCGTAAAACCCAGCCAGCTAAGCGTGCACACATTTCTTCTTCTTCGGTGGTGTTTTATAGTGTGGCGTGAATCACAAGGTAAATATGCAGTGTGATATTTGTGGGTGTACGTGCTGTTTGTGTGTTTTAGTCGTTAACAGAAAGGCAGTGTTGAAGACTTGTGTGCATTGTTTGTGTATTTTGTTTGTTTGTTGTTGTGTAGAGAATTTTAACTGTGCAGCCAAACAGCCCAGAAAGTGTGTGTGTGTGTGTGTCAGTTGTTTCCTTTTAATGTGTGCGTGTTTATCTGCAGTCAGTGTTATGTGTTCATTTTTCTCGAGTGACGCAAAGTAATAAATTAAAATGTGACATG